ACACACACACACACACAAGAAATAAAAATTACGGTGGGATTGAACTTTCATTTATTATATTAACATTCACGCAATACAATGAAGGAGTGGTGGGAAGTAGGCCTGACAGCTTTGCGGCACAGCCAGGTGTCGCAAATCAGCTCTAAGACTGACACTTAAGAATTACTCCTACACTTCGCTTAAAGTGAGACTGAGACGCTTGATAACAGACTTTCACTCTCAGCTTTTAACTAAGAATTATTTTACACTTAAGTCCACTCTTAGCAGCATTCTTAAGAGTAATTCTAAGAAGTTTTATAAATACGGACCCTGGTCTTTCTTATATTCTGCAGAAGAACCACAGAGAGCATGTTGACCAGCGGCATCTCTGCATGGTGTGAAGGCTGCAGTGCTTCTGGCTGGATCAGTATGTGGAGAGTTGTAAGGATGGTGGAGAAGATTATTGGGGCTTCTCTTCCCTCCATCCAGGACTTGGCCACTAAGTACAGGACAAACTAGGAACAGCCTCAGTGACCCCTCATACTTCTGTGGGCTGTTCTGCTGATGGAAAGAGGCTCTATAGCATTCAGTGCAGAATCAAAAGGTTCAAAAAAGTTTCTTCCTCCAGGTTATCAGATTGTTAAATAAAACACAAACATTAGACAATCTAACTATGTGCAATCTACCAGTCTTGCTACTGGGCAATCAACATTTTGCTCTTTATTTTTTTAAGCTGCATATTTTAAATATACMTTTTTAGACTTTAATAATTTTAATATTTTTAACATGACAATATGTGGCTGTGTTTATGCCAGTTGTGGTGAAATTTCTTTCTGTGCACTTTGTGTATCCTGATGGACAATAAAGTTAGTTTGTCTAAGTCTAACTCATCTAAATACTAATAGATACAAGAAAAGTCTGGGATTACACCAGGGATCAGAGCTGAGCTCTTTGGTCTTTGCAGTGGTGATGAACAGGCTGATGGATGTSGTCAGGCAGGACTCTTCATGGACTGTGGTGTTTGCAGATGACTGATCTGTAGTGAGATCRGGGTGCAGGTGGAGGAGAGCCTAGAAAGGTGAAGGTTTGCACTGGAGAGAAGAGGGATGAAAGTTAGAAGAAGCAAGACAGAATCCACATATGTAAATAAAAATGTAATAAAACAAAACAACAAAAACAAAATTGGTTTTGCATGCTTTTATTAGTAAATGGACTGCACTTGTATAGCGCCTTTCTACCCAACCAGGACACTCAAAGCTCTTCACACTACAATCTGTGTCCTCATTTACCCATTCACACAGCRCTCTACTAGATCTTCTCCTACAAAGCTATCATGTACAATCATCTGTGGAGACTAATAAGTGCCAATCACATTCATACACTGATGGGACACACATCAGAGGCATTAGGGTTAAGTATCTTGCCCAAATCAACCTGGTGGGTTAAAGGGGTCTGAGGCAAGGGTGGCTCGTTTGTGGGTGAACTTTCTGTTGAAGCAGTGGYGGGTTTGGGAGTTTGGAAAGACACACGGCTGTCAAAGTGACATCTTCTTGCAGTGGTCGTYTCAGCAGGATAATGTCTGATCTCATTCTGAACAACTGACAGCACAACAGTGGGGCTTCACAAACACAAACTGTGTAGTTGAAAGTGTATGGAATATTATCAAGAGGATGATGAAACACTGATGATCATGAAGCTGATCAGCTAATGTGTTCAGCAAAGGGAACAGAACTTTATACTGTCAGTTCATGTATGAATTGAATTTGTAATTAAAAGAAGAGCAACATGCCTTCCAAATGTCTTTAGATGTACTGCTGGTAATGAAAAATTTCYTGCCATTTGGTTTGGAATTTTGGTCTATCTCAATGCAATTTTACCAATATTGGAAAATGGAGTATTGGCTACTTATTTTTTTTTACAAACACTGAGCCACTTTGTCATTTAGTGTCTCCCTGTTATATTTTTTTAATAATTGGAACCATGGAAAAACAGCGATCTTTGTATTTCAGTGGGCCCCTTAGTCAACAGATGGCTCTGAGACGTCCGCAATATGGAGGGAGATAATTTGGCTCAGTGCTTTCCCTCCCACACAAACATGCACTGGTGGTCTTCTTTGCTAAATACAGATTGTTATCCTCTAAGATGATATTTATTCTGAAACCATGAACTCTGTCTGTGTCCAACTGCACGGGATGAAGTACCTTTTGATTTCAACACCATATTAGTCCTCTAACTAAGGCAGTAACACTGTATGGCCCACAGAACTTCAGTTATTTTTAGCTGATTACTCCCCTCTCCCTCATGTCTGTGTTGATACAGCCTGAGCTTTATTAGGTTGTTCACCCTGAACCACACTCTGAACACAGATTATACAGTAGCTGCTCCTCGAGCTAACTGCAGCTTTGGCACTCGGCTTTGAAGGTTTTCTGTAATTGAAGTACTTCATCCAGAATAATAGTTAAACAATTGGTAATAAAATAGTTGTAAATTACAGATATTTAAGACCTGGGAGAAAGCTTAGCTCATTRCGAATCAAAACAGTGAACAAATGTTAGGTGAATATTCTATTAGCCTTGTTTGGGTGGATTGTTTTACTGTAGTTTATCATTGTTACTTGAAAACAACACTACTCATCATAACAAACTGACCATACTTTGAAATGTTTTTAAGTTTTTTTTTTCACGTTTTCTTTTGGAACCCTTCTCCAAAGATGTCGTGTTATGTGTAATTGTTGCGTACCTACATCTGACTGAAGTGGCCTGTTGTCCTCACACTGCAGTACCTAAATCTGTGCTCCACCTGTCCTGTTTCTGCTCTGTCAGGGCTCAGACAGTGAGCTGAAGGCAGAAAAGGATGGGGTGTCTGACAGCGAATCCAAGGTGGATACGGGAGTCCCAGAGGTGCCGGTTCCTCCTGATGACACCCCGGAGGTTCTCAACAAGGCCCTGTCTGGACTCTCCTCAAGGTAAACTTGCAGAGCTAAAATTTACATGATGAATGTTTTTCTTAAAGTTTTTTACTGTTTTCATTGCATCAGCCAAGCGTAGGTTCTCTCCATCTACATCTTGTTTGATTGTTAAGCTAATTATCTGAGCTTATCCATAGCTGAGTTGTGGAGGCAACAGGTTCACGAGAGAAACCCAGACATCCCTCTACCCCAGCGACACTTTCCACAGGGTTCCCGCAGATCTTTAAAAAGTTTTAAAAGGCATCGACTTCATCAATCCAAAAATAAGGCCCTAATTAAAATTAAAATGTCTTAAATCAATCTTTCAGATGTCTTAAAAATATTATATTGTAAGTAGGATGATGTAATTCACCTCAAATATTAAAATAATATTTGTTTATCTTTTTAAAGAATTTACTGAGTGCCTCTCGCAGCAGGTTGTTTTCTGTTAAAATAAACATTTGGGTGAAATTGTCGCTAACTTGTTATTTTTTTCCATTTGTGTTTATTGTGAATTTGGTCTTTAACGACACTTGAAATTTAAGTCTTAAAGTCTTAAATTTAACTTGCCTTTAGCTGTCAGAACTCAGTTCCTGCTCGTCTTGGGAGACACCGAGTTGTTCCCAGGCCAGAGAGAATGCATAATCCCTCCAGGGAGTCATGGGCCTTCCTACCAGTGGGACGTGCCCAGAACACCACTAAAAGGAGGCATCCTAGTCAGGTGCCCGAAACACCTCAACTGACTCCTTTCAATGCAGAGGAGTAGCAGCTCTACTCCAAGCTCCCACAGATGACGGAGCTCCTCACCCTTTCTTAGCTGAGCCTGGCCACCCTACGAAGGAACCTCATTTTGGCCACTTGTATCTGGGATCTCATTCTTTCAGTACGATCCACGTCGTTCCATCTCCCACTACATCCTACCATCACTCGTGAAGAAGACACCCAGATACTTAAACTCCTCCACTTGAGGCAGAGACAACCCCCACCCACCACCCCTGTCCCTGATCCTTTTCCAGATGTTCTCAATAAGATTATTATGACCCCCACATGCAAAGCGTAAGTGGGAGTCATATTGTTTTCATACTGTTTGTTTGTTTATTTATTTATTTATTTATTTATTTATTTATTTATTTATTTATTCTCCGGATATTTTTGCTCAACCGTAGCACAAAAACAGCTGCACCGATCAACATGAAATTTGGCAGGACTGTAGATGAGTCTGACCTACACTGCTCCAGCCAACGGTTTTACGATAGACCTCATATTTGAGGAGGGGACTCCTTTCAAAGTGGGGGTGTCTGGACATGCAAAAATGCTTATAACTCAGAAACTGTTCAACTTAGGAGCTTCAGATTTCTTTTGTTGTTTAGCTCTGATGAAGCTCTATCCATCAGGCCCACCAAACAGTATGCAGTATCTAGTTATTTTAATGTCTGTGATGCAGACACCATGGGTGCTTTGAGATTTACATCCTCAATTTAGCTCTTCCATTTTATCATCCACATGTGGCCCATTGGTATGTGAAGTGGACACATTTGCACTTTTACTGGTTTTGATGCAACACCAACAGCCACATCCAGTGACTCAAAGGTTTTTCAAAGTATGGACGTTAATTTGGAATCATTGTTGTTCGTCTATCAGCTGACAGAGTCGTTTGTCTGCTTTCTCAGATGGAAGAACTGGTGGGTTCGAGGCATCCTGACACTAGCCATGATCTCCTTTTTCTTCATCATTATCTACCTGGGCCCCATGGTGCTTATGATGATTGTAAGTACAAACAAAGACCRTGATGCAGGACAAAAGCTCTCCAGTTTGCCAAATTAAAAAAGGTGGAAAAACGTAACTTTTATGAGCCATAGTCTGCTTTTTAGGTAGTTATTTTTAAGACAGCATTAAAGTCTGGCAACCTCTGCAGTTGTGTGAATAAACTTGTAAATGTTAATCTCCATCTGAGCTCTCCCCGTAGTCAGCCATGACACATGAATATGTTGTTATGCTGAAGTGTATTGTCACATTAGCCACTGTTAAACAGGGTTTAAACAGAAGCTCAAATGCTGTTAAAAAGATTGCAAGCTTGATATGAAAATAAACACAGATTTTACCAGCAAAGCAGAATAAAGATAACACAACACAGAACAAGTGAGCTAATCAATTGTCACTTAGTTCACAAGCTAAGTCAGCAGTTTTTTTCCCCTCTGAGCCGTCTCCAGTGAGTAAATCTAATGTAGTGTTTATTCTCTTGTGCTCCTGCTCATCAACTCGCTGTTTTTATTTTCTCTGCTTGCATGAGTCTCTTAATTGCCTCTGCTAGTTTGTGTTTTGTGATTTTTTTCTTTTCTTTTCAAACTTTCTTTATACTTTAATCAAAGTAAACACAGATCTTTGAAGTGTCTTTTTCTCACTAGATTGTTTTACCCCAGGTGATCCATGGTAGTTGTTTTGAGCTCTTGAATTGTGCCTAAGGAATGTTACGACACACAATTAGTTAGATGCAGAGTTATAAAGTTACGCCATTCTATAACTTGAAAGAGTCCAGCTCTTGCCTTTGGGAAATTCTTTTAAAATGCAGGAGTTTTTTAAACCTATAAAATATTTCAGCTATTTTTTAAACCTAACCCTACACATTGTAATATAATGCAGCTTGAGATGTCATGTTTGACCCTCTGGTGATGTGTCTTTCCTCAGGTCCTCTGCGTTCAGATTAAATGCTTCCATGAAATCATCACAATTGGTTACAGTGTGTATCACTCCTACGACCTGCCCTGGTTCAGGACGCTGAGCTGGTGAGGACAGCCAAACACAGGCACATAATATGATAATGACATATTGATTAGCAGTGCTTTAAGTGGGCCGGCACCGGTACGCAGTACCACCCCTTCTCAATTTTACCCCTTTATTCTGGAAAATTATAGTTTTAAAGGAAAACTGTTTTTGCAGCTAAGTTTAATCGAACWGTGCCATTTTAAAATGACTTTTCTTTTTATGATTTGAAAGTTCAGCTGCACTTGTTTCATCATGAGTTGAGATAAATACAGATTGAAAAAAAAACTTGGTCTATTATTTACATTTAACATATTATTGCAGCATTGTTTAAAAAAGAYTCAAAAGGTCTAAAATTCCAAGTTTCAGATTTGCAGCATGACTTGATAGTTTCCTGTCTTGACTTGAAACTAGACTCTGACTTGAGGATAAAGACTTGGGACTTGCAAAACAATGACTTGGTCCCTCCTCTGGCAGAATCATCAGTGCTGTTTGAACTGTAGCGTTAGTGAGGTGCAGTGTAGTGTGATAATATTTTCTTTCACACAAGCCTGAAAAACCTGGTGAAAGATGAACTTTATTTATCTCACATTTGGTCTTTGAAAATGACAAAGCTTTAGCCTCCTTTAGATTTTAGGAGGTAAATTGGTACAGAAAATTTTACATGTCAGACCAAAAAAGTGAGCAAGGTTTTCTGCAGGCATTTTTCAATCTGATTATCTGCCATTAGCTGACAGATAGTTTCAACCTTTTGCCCAACAGGTACTTCCTGCTGTGTGTGAACTACTTTTTCTATGGCGAGACTGTGACGGATTACTTCTTCACACTGGTGCAAAGAGAGGAGCCGCTTCGCATCCTCAGCAAATACCACCGTTTTATCTCCTTCGCTCTTTACCTCACAGGTACACACAGCAAGCGTCAAACTGAAAGCAAAGCCTGTAAACTTGTTTCACACATTTTATACCACTGAACCACAGATACATCTATGAAGATGGTGGAAGAAGCTCCTAAACAGCTCTCATCTCCAAACCCCTTGGTTTTAATTGTGTTTGAATGAGAAAGAAACGTAATGTTATGCATATAACTACTGTTCCCTGAAGGAAAGGAACGAGGTACA